ACACATTTCATTACACCAAATACACAAAATAATGTTCTTTTTAGCAACATCATATGACCCCTTTAAAATGAATACTACTTAAATATCATTTTAATCAAAGCATTTGCATTTAATTTATATATCCTCAAATTATGAATGGAAAAGTGACACAAAACCTAAGCAGTAACTCATAATTTGAATGTCAGTCCTCTTGTACATAAACAGTGTGTGTTTGTGTGTGTGGGTCTGTCACTGGGCAGCTTTAGCCTCCACCTCATTGATAGACACAAAGCGTGGTCGTCTGCGTACCCTCCTCTTTGTGTTGTGTTTGGGGTTTCTTTGATACATATCTGTAAAAATAGAACAGTCAAATACTTACAAATAATATAATATAAAATCATATTTTCAATGACCGCAGGAATCCTGTTATACGTGTAGTACCTTGGAAACTGACATAGTAATGCCTATTTCCCTTAATGACAGTAACTTCTGCATTGTTGTCCTCCTGAAATGCTTTCTCCAGCTCTCGGGACGTTACAGACGTCACACGTTGCTTGTCATCCTAAAGAAAAAAGATTTTGAAACCAAACCACAACCTGACCTTAAATTTCTCTCAAATGAGAGTATGTTTGCAATCCAGTCTCACCGGCTGACCGTACTCTATCCAGTTTTCATGATCTCCTTTGTAGTACCAAATCCACTCTGTTGTCAGGATGTAGTGGGTGGGTTTAGAGACGGAAGAGACCGTTGAGAGTCGGCGCACAGGGTCATGTTTCCTAGTCATGGACCCAAAATCCACCGGTCTCGAGCCTGGACTAAATTCAAGAGAAGCAATCAGTGTCATTATAGTCAACTAAAACTAAAACCATAAACTTTTGTTACTTGAAATAACAACATTTTTCTGAAATATATTAAAATATAAATGTATATATCAGCTAGTTGCCAAGGCAACTTGATGTACTAAAATTACTCAAATAAAAAAAAATAAAAAAAAAAACTATTAAAAATGACAAAACACATAACAAATTATTAAAACTTGAACTAAAATTAAACAGAAAATACAAAAACAAAAATAATCCAAAATATTGAGAAAAACTATAATAGTATCTCAATGATACTAAACTCACACTGGAAAGGATAGAATAGGGAATGATGTAAAAAATAAATAAATAAATAATTTTGCACGGCTAATGCAATATACAATCAGTTAAAAAATGTTATTTTCTGATATTTTTGTTATTCAATTTCAAGAGAAAGCCCTTAAAAAGCAATAAATAAATGATAAAATAATAAACATACAACCCCCATTAAGTTCCCCCATTAGAATAAAAATAAAATAAACAAAATAACAATAAAATAGCAAAAAAAAAGAAATAGTGCTGTCAAACGATTAATCACGATTAATCGCATCCAAAATTAAAGTTTTTGTTTACATAATATTTGTGTGTGTACTGTATATTTATTATGTATATATAAATACACACACATGCATGTATATATTTAAGAAAAATGTTACACATATTAAATATATTTATATATGATATAAATTAAATATTGTACACATATAATATATGTAAATATTTTCAAAATATATGCTGCATGTGTATTTATATATACATAATAAATATACACAATACACACACATATATATTATGCAAACAAAAACTTTTATTTATCGCGATTAATCGTTTGCCAGCACTAAAAAAAAATGTTAAGCCAACACATGCATGTGCATTTGTACTGACCTGTGTTCATTCTTTGGGTCACAGTAAGCTCTCTCTATTTCCTCCATGTTTCTCAAATCCCTCCAGCCTTTCCCGTCATCAACCTCCCATTTGTATGGAAGATTAAAGTGGACAAGAACGCACTGGTCTGAAGCAATAAAACAAAACCATTTTAACTTAAATCTAATGTGAATGGCTTAAAGAAAACGAGATTAGCAGAGGTAACGTGGATGAAATGGACACCAACCCTGAAACTTGCATTTCCGTCTTATGAAGTGGAGACAGATTTCATTCTTCTCCATCTGAGCAGCCGGTTTGACGCCTTGATCAGATATCAGTTCTGAAATGTATATGAATATGTATGTATAATATGAATTACTGTATATTTAATATGTGCAAACGAATATAAGTGGCACTGCTTACCACTGCTTAGAGTTTGTGAGTTGAGGCGATAAACGTTCTGGTAGATGTAGGGCAGGTCATGGATGATGTCACCCCCGAGACCACGTTCCTCCAGCATCCTGCAGCTGTGCTCGTTGATACTGTGCAGCCGTTTGCACTTGGGGCCGAACAGGCAGTCGTCTTGCACAAAGTGCTGACAAATGTGCACCTTAGTGCAGCGCTCCATAAAGGTACAGGCCCCGAAAAGCCCTGTGCCTTTATTATAGTGAGCACACACCTGTGTACATACAGCATGAGGTGAAGTCTTTAAACATCAGACTTACTCTACCGGTCAAAGTTTGGACAAATTATGATTTTTGATGTTTTTGAAAGAGGTCTCTTATGCTCACCTAGTCTGCATTTATTTGATCAAAAATCCTGTAAACGGTAATACATTGTGAAATATTATTACTATTTAAATCATGTTTTAAACTGTCATTTATTCCTGTGATGCAAAGCTGAATTTTCATCAGTTTTCAGTGTCGCGTGATCCTTCAGAAATCATTCTAATATGCTCATTTGCTGCTCAAGAAACATTTATTATTATTAGTGTTGATAATTCATATTCAACAATGTCTATTCATCAAAGAATCCTGAAAAAAGTATCAGTTTCCATAAAAATAAAGCAGCAAAAACGGTTTTCAACATTGATAATAATTATAACTATTAATAATTGAGCACCAATAATAATTTATAACAATTATGCACCAAATCAGAATGATTTCTGAAGGATAATGTGACACTAAAGACTAGAGTAATGATGTTGGAAATTCAGCTTTGCCATTATAAATTAAATTTTTGAATATATTGAAACAGAAAATATTTATTTTAAATCAGAATAATATTACTGTTTTTACTGTATTTTTGATTAAATAAATGTAGCTTGGTGAGCATAAGAGACTTCCTTGAAAACCTTCCTTCAAAAAAAGTAAAAAAATCATAATGATTCCAAACTTGAGCGGTAGTGTATATGCAAATTACAATTTTCAAAACCATACATGCATTTATTAATAACTAAAGTAAACAAATTAAATTCCTTACAAATACAGTGAAACTTCTAGAATAAACCAGTGCATCACAGTGCAACATTCTACTTTACCTGTTTACAGGACATTCTCCTTTTTTTTCAGTTTTTTTTCTTTCTTTCTTTTTTTTTTGTTTTGTTTTGTTTTGTTTTGTTTTTTTGTCCAAACCAAACTGGAGAAACACACTTAGGACACCTGAAGATCTTAGAACCATCTGGAACTCTTCATCCTTAACGCGGACCACAATTCTTCTCAATTTTTTTTTTTTAAAGATTACAGGCGTTTGACTGATGGTACTGATCAGACTGCACCTTATCCAGGATATAACGCAGAAAACAAGCTCCTTTTGCGTTCTGATGGACTAATTACATACTCAAATATTCAATTACTTCATTGTATATTTGCGTGTAACCAATTGCTGATTCAAGCATGCCAGAACAAATGTCTGAGCGGTTACATGAGCTCTGTTCTACTCTGAAAACTTTCGCGCAGCGAAAGAAACGAAGGAGGGCGTTTCAAATGGCAGGAGAGGTACCTGGAATGCAGAAATATCCCAGTCATAGCATGATTTAGGCTTCGGGGAGGAATTCTCTCATGAGAATGGAGTCCAAAATACATTTAGGTGGCTATTTTAGCCTTCCTGTTTGCATTTCCTCACCTCTGGCAGTAGGGCAGGGTCATTCTGGAGCAGAAGCAGGAAGAGATCATCCTCGTTCAATTCATGAAGTGTACATTCCCGCAGCAGGGGATAGTTATGCTGTGACTGGATATCATGGGAGAATTTACACTCCTTCCTGACAAACACATAAGCATATAATGATTTTTTTGGGCTCTATATAAGTTGCATATACTCATTTGTGTAAGAGGTTGACTGATATTGCTTTTATATGACTGATACAGATTATTTTCATGTATAAATATGTAATAACCAAAATGCAGAAATTATTTTTAACTGTTTTATCACTGCTTTTTGAGACAATAATAACTAAATTATCATTATACTTAATATTACACTTAAAACATATGACTATTATTATTATTAAGTTATTATACCATTGAATATAATTGATGGGTGTTATTATTATTAATGAAACGTAATTCACATTAATAATAGCTATTATTATTAATATTAATGACTCTCTTCTACATAATAACGTAGAAACTAGTAATTAAATCGTTTATTATCACAATAGTTTCATAATTCACTGTACTATTATTCTAAAATGTGGAAAATAGCCATAATAAATAAGTAGGTGCGTGCAAACGTTTGAAAAGTAGCGTATATGTTCCAAGCAGCAGTATACACAAAATAATTTTAGATAAATTAAAGCGCATGCAAAATATCAATGGGTCTTACAGAAATTACATGAGTTATGAATTTATTATTTTTCGTGCCACTAAACTCTGAACTTACATGATGACAGCTAATAGCTGTTGTTATTTATACGTATATCTATTTAGTCTTGTATTAAATATTATAATGGGCATATATAACACTAGATATCCAGATGTTCTCCCAACCTTACCTTCCTTTTCCATATCTGCAGTTCCCGTAAACGTAATATTTGCACAGATGTAAATCCTGGCACTCGTAACATTCATTCTTGGAATATTTATTGCAGAGTCTCAGAGATGTTTTGGCGACGACGATGCAGTCAGACTCTCCATCCTCTGTTGTGGGTTTGCTCTGGACCACTGCGAAGCGGGAGCATTTCTTAACGACATACCAGAAATCCTCTTCGGAGACATCAAAGCGCTGGAGGACCTTGTGGTGCAGCTGAGATATTTCCATAGAGCCTTTATTGCTGCATAATACGCTGGTCGCATAATGTATGATCCGAGAGTAGCCCGACATGTCTGCGCAGACCTGAGACCACTGCTGGGCTGCTGTGTAGCGTTGTTATTTGTAGTACAGTTTCTATTCTGCGTTTCTACAGAAATGAAAGCGGAAACTGTGAAAGCCGTACGAGTCAATGCCAAGTTCCCAATGCCAGTTCTTTTCAAAATAAAAGTCGTTCACCCACAGGATTCGAGAATGTATTAAAAGATAGATAGATAGATAGATAGATAGATAGATAGATAGATAGATAGATAGATAGATAGATAGATAGACAGACAGACAGAAAGACAGACACACAGGATACCAAAATATCAGAATGATACACAGAACGATAGATAGATAGAAAGATAGATAGATATAGATAGATAGATAGATAGTTAGATAGATAGATGTAAAATGGATATATGCTCACTTCACTCTAAATAGAAAATGTGTCTATTCTAATAGTTGTCATTTTTATAATAGTGCTTCACATCCTGTGTTTCAAAAGCAGCTTTATAGAATTTTTTATAGAAAGTTTAGTAAGCAACATAAAGGTAAAACGTACTAGAATAGAATAGAGTAGAGTAGAATAGAATAAAAAAACATGGCTACTCTGACTATGTGACAAGTGTCTTCTCATCTGGGTTCAATGGTTTCAGAGCTTCCTCCTGCATGATGCATCTGCCTGGGAAAGACCCCCGGTTGATCTGGTAAGGGACCGTCGTCGGTCAAACCAACCAGCGTTTCCTGTTTGCAGTAGAGTCCTAAAATCACTCTGTGGCCCAAAAACGGAGACCTGGAAAGCCGTCCATGGTGTTTCTAGGGTTTCATCCTGGCTGCAACACGATGCTGTTTGTGTAGAGAAGCTTCTAGGGAGTTTGGTAGTTAGTCGTGTTATACATGACCTAGAGGATGATTGAGGATGCAGCAGCCCACTGTGTGATTCCTTGAAAGCATGTGTAGACCTACCTAGTGACCGTTTATTGTTTGAGGTGGACCCGATGACCTCTAGAACATGCTTCCTCTGTCCTGAAATATCAGGGTTTGAAACACTGCAGAAGAGATAAGATTAAAATGAATTTAGCGAGCATCTGTGTGATTACAATACAATATTGTAGTGAAACTGAGCTCACGGCTCCAGGTCTCGGGTCAGTTGGTGCTCAGGGCCCAGGAGGTGAATCCTTATGTCTGCAGCTCTCTGGAGCAGATCCAGCCCTTCTCTCCTGTCCACTCTACTGCAGCTACGCAACAACACTTTACCTGCCAGACAGCATAAAACACTCAAAACATCTGTGACAGAACAGAGAATGACAAAATGACAACAGACACAACAGTAGAGTTTATATATCTCAATATTTTCTATATATGGTATTTTAAACTTGCAGTGAATGACTTCAATCGCTTCATTGAAAATAGGCCTAAGTCTCTTATGCTCAGCAAAACTGCATTTATTTGATCGAAAATACAGTAAAAAGAGTCATATTTTCAAATACTATTACAATTTAAAATAACTGTTTTCCATTTGAATATATATTAAAATGCAATTTATTTCTGTAATGGCAAAGCTGTTTTTTTAGAAGCCATTACTCCAGTCTTCAGTCCAGTGCTTTAGTAACTTTGCAAGTACATGTCAACTTATTCTACTGACCCCTTACCTAACAGTCTACTAATACACTAATGAGAGTTAGTTAACATGTAGTTGCAAAGTTACTTATAATTAGTAGAATGTGTAAAGTGGACTATTGAAATAAAGTATAAACAAAATGATTTCTGAAGGATCATGTGACACTGAAGACTGGAGTAATAGCTACTGAAAATTCAGCTTTGCCATCACAGGAATAAATTACATTTTAAAATATATTCAAAAACAGTTATTTTAAATTGTAATAATATTTTATAATATTACTATTTTACTGTATTGTTGCTCAAATAAGGCAGCCTTGTGAACATAAGATAATTATTTTAAAAACATTTAAAAAATCTTAATCATTCCTAACCTTGGGCTGGTAGTGTATAAATAGATACACACAGCACTCTTCTTTTTGTCCAAAAAAAATAAATAATACATTTTACATTCAAATCAGACTTTCTAAAGTTGTGATTCATCTTGGAGCTGGTTGGTTTGGTTCAAAACTTTCAAGAAAAATATGCCATTGAAACCAGACTTAAAAAGTTACTCTTGTGTTCAAGCACGCAGTGCCACAACCAGTCGCTAAAGCTATTTAGTCATTCACCAAGCTTCGTAAGAATGACAGCAAGGTCGTGTTGCATGGTGGGAAGTTGCAACATCTGAGCCTCAGTCTCTTTAGTGCTTATAACATGCCGGTACAATTCAACCATCTTCCTCTGCGTCCATCTAAAAGTGAAAATCAAGCCAGCGACCTTGAAATCACATTATGTGACTTTGAGGTTTGATGACAGATTGATGTAACTAAATGCGAGCATCTCACTCTGTGTTGGTTTGAGCTCTGGTCCAGAGATCTGCAAGCTGCTCCTCCACTTCTGCTACCAGAGGATGATCATGGCTGTACCAGCGCCTCAGCATTTCTCAGCAGTCTTGGGCTCACAAAGAGTCAACCTTGACAAATGATGAAAATGCATTAAAATGAACTTCAAGTAATTTCTGTATATTTTACTGGCTAATAAAACAGTGGTCATAGACTGACACCTATTGATGTGGATGTAGCATCATTTATAATTTAATTTAGAGAAAAACAAACTTTTTTTATCTTACTTGTGAATGGCCTTCAGTAGCATAGCTGTGCCTTCAGCACAAGGATGGCCAGAGATGTATCTAGCAGAACTGATCTCTTTGAAAATCCCTGGCACTTCATTCAGCCGTCTATCCTCCAGCAATGCCACACGCAGACGACAAAGCAGCTGTCCTGTGAGAGCAGATTAGTGCTTCATGTGTTCAGATTTACCCTTGCCAAGAAATAACTTGCATGTCTGTTTATAACAGTTATGTGAATGCAGGATGAAATATGAAATACATCTTACCAACTATCAGTTTGACCTCTGAGCTGGCAAGGTGGGCTACTGCAAAAGACTGGGCTGTCTCAAGTCCCTTGTGGCAATACATCTCTGTGTCTTTTGGCAGATGCATTTGGACGTAAAGCTCTGCCAGCATATGTTGCACTTTGAGCAGTAACCTCATACTGTCACTATCCAGCTCCACTTCCCGTGGAGGAAACCATCAAAACAGATTATAAGTGAATGAAACCTTGCATATGATCATTTTTTGAATGCATGCAATTTCTGTCAATGATTAGAACTAATCATATATCAAAATATTAGTGTCTTTTATTATTTTTACCTTTAAAATTTAGTCTGCTTGCAGTAGCAGCTTCTCAGCTTGTTGCATCTCACCCAAACAGAGCAGAACTTTACAGCAGAACAATGCCAGTCTCCACAAACTGCTGTGATCTGGAGGGTCAATGTCTAAGAAAGACCAGGTGAATCTAGTTAACATTTACCAAGAAGTGATCATTGTGTCATAATTTCTGCTCTTCTGTGTCTGCATAGAATTATTATTTCCAAGAGGATCTTTAGAAGGCAATATAAAACAGTCTAATACTCACAGATTTTACATTACTATCACTTACAAAAGAAAACTACCATATATTTTTAAAGTATATATATATACTATTTAAAATAACTGCTTTCTATTTGAATATATTTTAAAATGTAATTTATTCCTCCAGTCACATGATCCTTCAGAAATTATTCTAATATTCTGTTAAAAAAAGCTGAGTAGACTTTTTTTTAGGTTTCTTTGATGAATAGAAAGTTCAGAAGAACAGCATTTATCTGAAATAGAATCTTTTTTAACATTATAAATGTCTTTATCATCACTTTTGATCAATTTAATGCATCCTTGCTAAATAAAAGTATTAATTTCTATAATTTCACAATTTATTATTAGCAAAATATTTGTATTCAAAGAAAAACTAGAGTGAACGCACGCCGGATCACTGAGGAAATCATGCAACTCCTTAAATGAACCAGTTTACTTGAGATGCCAGGGAATTTCTTCCATTTTTCTTGCCCAGCTACAAAGCCCTAAACTGGACTTCTGAAAAAACTTAGCAAGGATCCGATGGTAGGAGATGAGACCCTCTGTACCTTAAAGTGAAAGAGACAAAACCACAACTGTAAGAACGGGCTGGAAATACCTGTTGTTTTAATGCTGGGAGACTATATTAATGTATGTCAAGAATCGCAATGTCAGAAGGCATTGCTACTGAAACGTTTTTTTTTAATTATTATTATTAAAAAATTAGTTGCATATTAAAATAAATATATATTAAAAATATATATTTAATTCTAAATTTATTTTTATTTGTAATTATTTTTAAATAATTATGTTATTTATAAAATATTTATTTTATTTTATTTAAATTAATATAATCAAAGGTTTGGCTACATAAAGCAACTATTTTGTGGCAAGAATTGAAATATAATAAAGGAGAATAAGACAAATAACATAAAACCATCCACACCGTGCAACAACAGGTTAATAGCTTGGCTGAGTGATTGATGCGTGATGGTCAGAAGACCATTGGTTTTCTCCAGAACCCAAGGCCAAAAAGCAGAGCGCAGTCGGGCCCATTCCAAAACCTGGACTCTCAAATTACCACAGTAACCTAGATCTTCCAGCAAAGCCAAAACCTGAGACTCAGTCAGCCCAGCACGAGACACATGAATAAGACAGTGCGTGTCCCACACCCAGCCAGAGAGATCTGTAGAGAAGTAGAGAAAATGCTTATTAGATTGAACTAATAAAGTCATGGCAAGCATGGTTTTATATAACAAAATAAACAGGACTTACCATCCCTGAGTGATGCAGTGCTTGTTTGAGCCTCAGTGACTTTACAAGAAGTAATATCTTCTGTTGGAGCAGTTCTGCTGTAATCTTGTACCCAGCGATGAATGACCTTCACCCAGAGCTCTGGAATTGAATCAGCCTCTAAATTATCCTTCAACAGCTCCTTCTCTTCCTCTTTCTCCCTCAGCACTCCACATGTCCGTAACTCTGTGCCAATGAGAGCTAAAAAGGCCGGAATGTGGCACTGCTTATACGTGCAACACTTTGCAAAACACTGGCTGGTAGATCCATGTAAGGCAAAGACAAATGTTTGCGCAAAATGCTGCCCAGAACACTAGGATCGGAGAGATGGGGACAGCTGAGAATCTGGACATCGGTCCTGCCGCTCAGACTTTTGTAA